ACAGCTGACCACAGAGTGAGGTAATGGACCAATCATAGCAGCCCTTTACCATGTTGGCCAGCTGTGGCCAGGCAGTATTTTAGTAGTGATTTTATTAAAGACTGCAGTAAACAGACTTGCCATTATTGGCAGTCTTTTCCTCAAGTTCTGTGACAGAATGAGGAAAGGAAAGCCGGTAACTGGCAAATCTCACAGGTACATTTATACTGATAATCAGGACACTGATCATCGGTGCCCTGTTTATCACTGCAGTTCCATCAGTGCTCGTCAATGCGGCCCATCGGTGCAAATCAGTGCTGCCTATCAGTGCCACCCATCAGTGCCGCCTATCAGTGCTCATAAGTGCTGCCTATCAGTGCCACCCATCAGTGTTGACTATCAGTGGCACCTATCAGTACAGCCTCATCAGTGTCTCCTAATCAGCGCCATCAGTGCCACCTCACCAGTGCCCATCATGTTGTATCATCAGTGCCCATCAGTGCAGTCTCATCAATACCCATCAGTGAAGAAGAAACAGTTTCTAACAAAAGTTAACCACTTGCCCTCCTGAGGACCTACCCCCCTTCCTGACCAGGCCATTTTTTGCGTTACGGTGCTGCGTTACAATTGCGAAGTCATGCAATGCTGCACCCAAATTAAATTTACGTCCCTTTTCCCCACAAATTGAGCTTTCTTTTGGTGGTATTTGATTGCCTGTATGTTTTTTATTTTTTGTGCTACACAAATTAAAATGACTTTTTCAACAATTTTGAGAAAAAAAAAAACATTTTTTACTTTTTGCTATTAAACATGTCCAGTAAAAAATTTTTAAAAAATCAAATTTTGTCATAAATTTAGGCCAAAATGTATTCTGCTACATGTCTTTGCTTAAAAAAATCCCAATACATGTAAAATAATTGGTTTAGGTGAAAGTTATAACGTTTACAAATGGCAGTATAGATACAGGAATTTTTTTTTTTTACTAGTTATGGCAGCAATCAGCGACTTACAGCGGGACTGCGGCAGACATTCTGACACTCGGGGGAACTGGCTTGGTGTCAGTGACATCCACAGTGACAACAATACAGTGATCAGTGCTAAAAAAAGCACTGACACTGTACTAATGGCACTGGGCAGGAAGGGGTTAACATGAGGGGCGATCAAAGGGTTAACTGTGTGCAGAGAGTGTTTTACTAGGGGGCTGTGTCAGTGTGTTTCACTGTAAGCACACTGCTTTGGATAGCTGTGCTGTGCACAGCCATCCAAAGCATTGTGCCCTAGCTAAAAGGGAGGAGAACTGTTAGTAAACAAAACAGTCCTCCTCCCCGTCGGAGATGCTCAGTAATCACCGGGCATCTGCGAGTAATCACAGCTGTGGCCGCGAATGGCTGTGTGGTTAGGGCGCGCACACCAACTACCCAGAAATTCAAAATCACGTATATACAGTATACGTGATTTTGCGCACCCCCTTCTGCCCTGTAGCATTATATCTGCTATAGGGCGGCGGGGAAAGCGGTTAAGAGAAAAAGTTTTTTTTTCTAAATCTCAGTCTTTTTTTTGTTTGTTTAGCAAAAAATAAACATCCAAGTGGTGATTAAATACCACAAAAAGGAAGCTCTATCTATCTAAAAAAAAATCCTACAAATTTAATTGGGGTACAGTGTTGCATTGCCACACAATTGTCATTTAAAGTACAACAGCACTGAAAGCTTCAAATTGGCCTGGGCAGGAAGGGGGTGAAAGTGCTCAGTAGGCAAGTGGTTAACCGCATCCTGCCCACCATATTGGCAAATAATGGGCGGGCAGGGGCTCTCTTGTTCTGGGAGGATGTCATATCGCTCAGAGACAGTGCATCACCGTTCAAGGTAAAGAGCCATTGGCAGCGGCTTTTTACCATGCGATTGGCTGTGTCCAATCACAGCTGGTCACAAATGTAAACACGAAACTCGTTGTTACCATCTTCCTCTCCTCACACACAGATCCTGTATAAAGAGAGGAATCTTCTAACAGTAAGTTACTAGTCTAAACTGTACAGTGCCTAAACAATACACAGTACCCCATCACAGTGCCCATCAATAGTGTTACCAGTGCCCATCAGTCTACCTGTCACCCATCAGTGCACCTGTTGCCCATCAGTGTACCTGTCACCCATCAGTGCACCTGTCACCCATCAGTGTACCTGTCATTACATCAGTGTACCTGTCGCCCATCATTGCCCATCAGCAGTGTACCTGTCACCCATCAGTGCCCAACAGCAGTGCACCTGTCGCTCACCAGTGCCCATCAGCAGTGCATCTGTCACACATGGTCCATCAGTACCTCCATCAGCAGAGTACCCATCACATAGTCACCATCACCAGAGTACCCATCACACAGTTGCCCATCAGCAGTGTACCAGTCACACAGCCACCATTAGCACAGAACCCTTCACACAGCCACCATTAGCACAGTACCCTTCACACAGCCACCATTAGCACAGTACCCAACATACAGCTACCATCACCAGTGTACCCGTCCTACAACCACCATCAGCAGTCTACCTGTCCCAGTGCCACTAGAGCCAGCCATGTAAAAAAACTTTTACACTAGTGAGTAGGTGTTCAAAATCTTCATTATGATGGATGAGAGCAGCAGGGAGCTCTCAACGTCCGATTCCGATTCAGTGTATGAACCCATTGAATGAAGTGGATCAGCGACCAAATTGGAGGAGGAAATGGTCCCTCCTAAAGGGATATGGCACTCTGAAAACTAGGCAGCCATCAGCAGAGCCATACACCACAGTGATGAATCACCAAAAGCCAATGGCGCTAGACCCATGGCCCAGTAGCAGCACTGTAATATCCCATCAGATCCCACGAATCAGAGCCCAAACATACTTCCCAGATGGTCTTGCCAACCCATTATGGCTGCCCTCCAACTCTGGATCAGCAAGTATTCCCCCTTTAACCGCACAGCCAGAAATTGATTTTTTTTATTTATTTTTGCCCCGCAGTTTACTTCATTTCATTGTGGACCAGACAACCCTTTTTGCCCAACAATATATTATTAACATCCTATGACCGTCCATTTGAATGGAGACATCTTACATTGGAGGAGTTTAAGTTATTTTTGGGCCTCACCCTTAACATGGGGCCTACAAAAAAAATGAAGGACATGTCCTTTTATTCTGCTGTAATACCTAGTCCATACTAAAAGATGATCATGCGCTTCCTTAATTTCAGTAACAATACCTAGTGCCCTCCCCCGAGATCATCGCAACTATGACAAATTATACAAAATTCGTCAACTTCTTAATTTTTTCCCCAAAGATTTGCTGATCTTTATGACCTTGACCAAAACATATGTGTGGGAATCAAGCAATACATTCCAATCAAAAGGACCAGATATAGAGTAATGCTCTACACGCTTTGTGAAAGAGCCACTGAATATTTGTATGCGTTCCGCCTGTATAAATGCAAATATTCCCAGCTCTAGCACCCTTAGTGCCCAACCTAAATCGGCACAAGTGGAAAAACTGTCTGGGATCTGGCTTTCCCACTTTTCCAAAAGGGTTATCACATCTACCTAGACAATTTCTATTCCAGTCTGCCCCATTTCCAACACCTGTACCGTGAGAAAACCTTGGCCTGCGGTACCTCCCGAAAAAACAGGAGGGGCTTCCCACAAAGTCTAGTGAACACCAGGCTACAAAGGGGGGAATCAGCAAGTCTAAGAAATGATGAAGTGCTAGCACTGAAGTGGAAGGATAAGAGAGATGTTTACATCCTTCCCACCATCCACAATGATATCTTGGTGGAAATTCCCAGAAAAATTCTCATTCAAAAGCCTGCGTGCATCCAAGCATGTGTTCCGATTCTGTGAGCAGACTTCATACCATTTTCCTGAGAGTATTCCACCAATTGAAGCAAGCTGAAGACACCAAAAAATATGTTGGGTATGCAGCAAAGGGGGAGTTAGAAGAGACACCAGTTTTATTGTCCCCAGTGTCCCTCCCAACCAGGCCCATGCATTGGAGACTGCTTCTGACGTTCCAATTATTGGCACAGCTGAGAGGGGAGAGATCTGTGTGTAAGTAAACAACAAAGATCTCTCTCCTGTCAGCATGGACGTGCTGCTTTGTATCTCTCTCTGCACAGCAGAAAGATACAAAGCAGCAGGTCTTCCAAGTAAAACACCACGCAATGCACACAGTAAAACACACACAGCACACAGTTAACCCTTTGATCACCCCAGATGTTAACCCCTTCCTGCTCAGTTTCATTAGTACAGTGTCAGTGCTTTTTATTAGCACTGACCACTGTATTAGTATCACTGGAGATGTCAGTGACAGTTAGTCAGTTTCCACCCATTGTCAGAATGCCCGCCGCAATCCTGCAGTCCCGCTAAGTCACTGATCGCCACCATTAATAGTATATATATATATAAAAAAAAATTATTAAAATTTCAGTATATTTACCACCATTTGTAGATGCTAGAACTTTCACATAAACCAATCAATATACACTTATTGGGATTTTTTTTTCAGCAAAGACATGTAGCAGAATACATTTTGGTCTAAATTTATGAAGACATTTCATTTTTTTAATTTTTGTATTGGATATGTGTCATAGCAAAAAGTCAAAAATATTGGGTTTTTTTTTAATTGTCAGGTTTTTGTTGTTTATAGCACAAAAAATAAAAACCACAGAGGTAATCAAATATCCCTGAAAAAAAAGCTATATTTGTGGGAACAAAATGACATACATTTTATTTATGTACAGCGTTGCATTACTGCGCAATTGTCAAAGTACTGCAGCACCATATCACAAAAAATGGCCTGGTAAGGAAGGGCGGTAAATTCTCTGCAAGGCAAGTGGTAGGAATGAAAGCATTATTAGGTTTGGTCAACACAGTTGCATGACAGTATTATTTTTTCCATTATATCATTATATTTCCATCCATAATATTTCATTAGAAAAGAAGGTAGTGGTTATTATCTTTAATACTGGAAAAAGTTAAAAGAACTTAGAGACTGTACTTACCTCCATTCCTAATAACTTCAGTGCTTTTGGCTGTTTAGGAAATAATAACAAAGAAATTATGCAAACATAGAAAACATATTTGGATCCAGTCTAACATGACCATAGAAATATATTATTACTTTCCCCAATGTTTCAAATCAACTATTTATATTTCAGTACAACCTGGTAGTTAGGTGTGACAGTGCATTACTTTGCCCCCTCAATATATTTTGGCCCACCACATTGCCCTACCAATTTGTCTTGCATCTTTTTTTTGAATAGCCCTTCAAACCTATGTCAATTTCCAGAAATCAATCTGCAAGGTGTATTGCAGAGCTATTGAAAAACTTTATTGTCATCATCAAAAAAGTTTAGAACTTTCTGTAATTTTTAGGGCCCACACTTCCCAGAAAGCTGCTGCTTACTACGCTGCAGTGGTTTAGTGTTGACAGCTGTCCATGCCGACTTCAGTGAGCTGGCAGTAAATGACAATGTAATATGCTTTTCAGTGCAGTGCAGTGATGTTTCTGCAAGCATAATAAAATCAGTAAAATGTTGATGCCCATGTGAATGTAGCTTAAAATGTTTAAAAAAAACCTTGCACCTAGTCTGGGGTTGTGATGTTGCTCGGTATTGGTGTTCTCGGACCCCTGCTCTTGGTCTTGTTATCTTTTTCTTTTTGTACTCCTCTTTCCTTTTCTTTTTCTGTTTGTTTTTTGTGTGGCAGTGGATAGCTGCCTTTAGTTTGAGTTACTGTCAGTGTTATACTAATGTTTTTGTCATTTATGTGCAATTGATAGCCCCTGCGTGGGCGCACCTTTTGCTCTGTTGGTGTTAGAGCACTGTTTTTTAATTTTTTTTTATGTGCAATTGATAGGCGTGTTTTTTTTTGCTCCTGTCTTAAACTGTTTATAAATTAACAAAAGCATTGAAATACAAAAAAATGAACGTAAAGGCACATGAATGTGTATATGCGTATACATGCATAAAAATCTTCATCTTCTTCTAATTGGCAGCATTTGCAATATACATGCATATGCATGCCTATTACATGTGTATGTGCATAAATTGTGGCACTCAAATGTAACATTTTCTATTTTTCTTTTATGGCTCTTTACACTGTATCACTGATCTTTAAGCACATTTGAGGAACAATACTGTAACTAAAGAGTATTGTTATACAGGCAAAAATGAGTGAGGTGGCCTAGCTGTTCATAAGAAGTGAAATATTATAATGCAAAATGATTTAATGGGCTCATAAAATGTATAAAAAGTAATCAGTACACGTTAATATGGTATGGGAGCTGGGGATACTGAGTTATTGCTGAAAAAGGTGGCAACAGCTAATGATTTATATTGTCTTCTGATTTCTTCAATCCTTTGATTCCCAAAGGTAAAACTATTCTTAAGACTGTACAAATGGTTTAATACAGATGTTTTTTTCACTGTTTTATTTCATCTGGTGCTAATACTTGTTATGTTGGGAACAATGTAAACCTGTTTAAACAATAGGTAGACTTAAGTTTATGCAGTGCTATTTCCGATAATATATTGCATAGTAAAGGTACTCATCCTTTTATCACACACATGTTCAAGTGCTGCTTTCACAGCTTTGGAGTAAGAAAGAAATATAGCATTTTAAGATGAATGACAAAAAATTTGATGTCTGTCATTGAAATCTTTTGGAATAATGGAAAACGCATGTCGTTCAAGCCTAAAACCCTTTTAAAAATAGCACTTAATGGTTAAAATAGGGAAAATTGTAACCATGGTGGCTGTTTTTTGAGCAAGGCTGAATTATTATTCTCTCATTTTTATATTTCACTGTCATGTTAAAACAACAAGGTATGTTTTAAAATGATTTTGTTTATTTTGTGGAGCATAGTTTTTGAGAATAAAGATAATTTTCATGACTCTTGCTCACAGTATCACAGCAATGTAAAGTACTATATAGACACAGCACACAGACTCATATAAAACTTTTTGATCCAGAGTATGGTGAAACCTCTGTTGCCATAGCAGTTCTACCAGTGCCTTTTCTAACAGAAAATATAAAAAACATTTGCTATGGTTATTTTCTTTTACTTCATACTAGCATGTAAGATGTTCACAAAATATATATACACTGTACGAAATTAGAAGGCAACAGGACCTCTAACATTATCCACACCATATGGTAAAGCATACTTTACCTTCTTGATAAACATTCCCATGCACAGTTATTGAAATAGTATTTAAATACCAGGATATTTTGCTGAGGAAGGTAGAGAAAATTTCCTGAGCAGAGAATTTTGTACTTTTAGGAATAGGCCATGCTGCAGGATTTGGGACTCACAGCAGGAACACAATGTATATCACAGCCTTTGTAGAAAAGCAATGCTTTAATTTATTACAATTTATAATGATGATATAAAATTATTACTTACTCGTTTGGGTCCAAATAAATTGTGATAAAGAGTTCTAAATCTTTTTCTGGTGTAATTGCAACGGTAGGCTCCACCCATGAGGTACTCAATAACGAGACCAATATCGATCAGGCTTATCCTGTAATCTGGAGGTAGATTTCCCTGTGGGAAAGGCACACACACAACAATGGAGGAACACGCACACAAAACAGGAGGTAACAATGTTTATCAAAATACATTTAAACAATCGTTAAAGTAAATTAAATTATTAATGAATTGAAATGTATGGAAACAAATGAAAGATATTAGGCTATGTAATTCACCTTAAAATAGATCCAACCGAAACCTGGATATTCTCGCTTGGAAAGAAGACATAAATGAAATAAGAAGATGCAACAATCGATGAACATCACAGATGATATAAAATTTAAATCCGGAACATCTAGCACGCAGATACCCTCAAAAGGCTAGCATGGATTCTAGAAAACGTTAATGGTATGGGAGGGGCTCGGTATATACCGTCAAAGAAGAAAAGAATCAAAGTATCAAGAGTTCTTCGAAATTACATGTTTCTATATAGCCTGATATGATGTATGAGGGGTTTCCTGAAAGTAAAATACTTTTTTTTTCAATATAAAGACATTAAAAATAATTTTAATTATAATTAAATCGCTCCAAAAACATTTGTGCTATTTGTGCATAAAAGTAGGTTACTGAGTCAGCTATATGTTCAAATGATAACCCTTTCCCACTTTATAACACTGTCTATCTACTGTCTACAACATATTTTTAAAATATTACTTGGCTTACTGCAGTGACACTAAATTAAATATGCAGCATGTTTTGTTAGAAAATGAATTGCCAACAAATTGTGAAATACGTAATTACAAAAACTCCATTGTACAGCAGTGCACATGGGAACCTTAGCCCATGCAATGTAAACTCATGAGTATTTTTGCCATCCTAAAAGGTCAGGTGCTGTGTACAGCCACCTAGAGACAAGAATGGCTGTACAGGGCTCTACTCGGGTATATGCCACTGCTGGAATTTCAGCTGCCCATGTGCAAGTGGCCTATTACTTTCAAAATCATCCTTCTGATAAGATTACTGTATCAAGTATTGAATGTCATTATACAAGTAGAAAACTATACTATAATGAGTATTTGGCATTTTTAGATTGTAAGCTCGAAAGAGCAGGGCCCTTGACCCCCTTGTGTTTTTTTGTTTTGTTACTGTATTGACTCATGTTCTGTCTCCCACTATAATGTACAGCGCTGAGCAAACCTTTTAGCGCTATTTAAATACTGTATAATAATAATAATAATAATTTTTTACATTTATTCTAGTGAACCTATGCCCTTTTATAGATGTGCAACTATCAATAATTGTTTTTTCTCAATCAGGGGCTTCTGTAAAGTAAATCCATAAGTTAAAAATGCCTAATATTTTAACTGATTTATTTACAATTTTACTGGACTAATCACCAATAAATACAAATTTTGTATTGCGACACACAATTGTTTTTCACTGTATATCTACTTTGCTTCCAGCAAATTTGTCTTAAATCAGGTGCAAGGTGCCTCTTAACAGCCATTTGACTGATTCAATGGAGAGGTCCCCATGTTTCCTCATGTGTAGAAAAAGGATGTATTGGCTGCCTCATGTCAGCTGACAGAGTAATGGTTAGCAATGAACAACTTGCACCTGTGCCAAGAGACAGTGCTAGGAACAAAATTAATTTGTAGGCAGAAAGGGAAATCCCTTCATCTTGCTCAGTACAGCGCCAGTGTACATGTATACAAAGCAGGAATAAGATCTGTGTACTAAAAGTGCTCAGCTTAAGCTTACCTTTCCACTATGAATCTTCATTCAAGCTCTTCCAAAAATTTCCTGTGCAGGAAATGACTACTGCAAACTGCTAAAAAGTCCTTTTTCTCTTTTTTACTACATATAGCACATATATAGTACACTTGTGCTATATGTTCTGACAACACAATATCAATACCACTTACACAACTGTGATGTGGAAGTTCACAGTTTATATAGAAAACACACACAAACTGACACATACCAGGGCTGAACACAGCATGAGCCTTTTTTAACACTTGAAATGAGCAGGGATTAGCAATATTGTTAGATATGCATTACAACATATCTTCAATATATGGACCACCTCTCACAACAGAACACAAAAACCCAAGGAAGATTTTCACATCTAAACAGCAGCCCTCGACATAACATTCATAATTTAACTATGATCTGAAAAACATAAATTAAAAAATGAGTGGCTAGGCCAAATACATTTATTGTATGCTGCTCAGAAGATTCAAATAGGCTAGAAAATATGAGTTACCATCTTTTCCGATTTTCCTAAAATTTTGAAACATTTACTAAGCACTGTGTAGTGCATATGTTTTTGTACCACACACACATAGGGCAGCCCATTCATTTCAATAGGCTGCCCTACATGTGTAAAATGCAGCAAAGTAGCTCATGCACCTTTTTCAGCTTTGAGCTATGTGCATTTGTAACCACGCATTTTTCAGCAATTAATGTGGGATTTTTTGTGCAAAATACATCTATAATTTTTGCTGTATTTGGGTGCCATTAATAATAAACGCCCTGCAAATGCAATGCATGTTTTTGCGTATTTCGAAAACATGCAGCCTTACGTTCTCATCCTATTTCACATTTGTAGTAAAGCTTTTGTTAAAAAAGAAGGAAGACTTTCTAATGAATCTACTGGTAACCTAAAAAAAATTCAATAGAGGCTCTGTAGATTACTGTCAGATACTAAAGGTCTGATTGACAAAAAACTAATGCACCTATGCAAGCAAATCAATCCTGCCCAAACAAGGAAATTAATCTACTGGTAACCTAAAAAAATGCAATAGAGCCCCTGTAGATTACCATCAGACACGAAAGGTCTGATTGACCAAAACTAATGCACCTATGCGAGCAAATAAATCCTGCCAAAACAAGAAAATTAATCTACTGGTAACCTAAAGAAATGCAATAGAGCCTCTGTAGATTACCATCAGACAGGAAAAGTCTGATTGACCAAAACCAATGCACCTATGCGAGCAAATCAATTCTGCCCAAACAAGGAAACAAAGTCCTTACAATATTTACTATGTAGAGTCCCCTATATGTACTCTATATGTAGGAGTTGTCAGGTTGTCTGGATGCCCCCCCCTCCTGCCTTTGTCTTTGTAGCTGTCCTGGGACCCGTCACATATGTAAAAATTGCAAAAGTTCTATGCACCTTCTGAGGAAGTCCCGCTATTGCACATAATGCATAAAAGGGTGGAGCCTGATTCTGATGACATCGTCATGCTGCAAGTGCTGCTACTGAAGATTCATTGAGGTGAGTGTTTCTCTATGTATTTTCCCTGGATGTGACTTGGCAGGATGGATTATTTTTGATGATGTCCTTATTTACATTTCTGTTGTAAGTGTTTTTAATCCCTTACTTTAATTCAATAAAATAATTTAGAGAGCACTATTGAGGTTTTTCTCTTCCATGTATTTTTATACATGTTGATACAAGCTGAGTTGGCGATTTCTATCTGGATGATTAAGGGAGGAGACCAGGCCATACTATTAGCCCCTACAGGGGAAACAAGCTATATTGACCTCATATTACCTCATAAGTCATATCACTAAGGTGAGCAAATTGAATATTTTTGCAGTATACAGCGTGAGATTTGGAGAGGAAAGCATGGTTGGATTCACTTGGAATGGAACTTGATTAATTTTGAATTGCAGCTCATACACTTTTTAGGTACATTGTTGGCTGCTATTTCAGCACTTTATGATTAGTATTAATAGTTTTTTTTCATATTTTACTTAAGTTAAGTATTGATTTGTTGATGTACTGATATGAATACAAACAATTTTAGTACTTAATTTTGAATATTAGTTTAGGGGTCGTGGTCTTGCTGGTACTCTGGTGCATATGTTTTGGGCTTGCCCTGGTCTTTCTTTGATCTGGTGTAAAGTTTCTGAGGTGGCCTCGGCCTTGGCGGATACTCCGGTGAATTTGTCATTACAGAATTGTTTATTGGGATCTCCCATTTTGGGGATCCCAATCAACATAATGAGTCTAATTCATACTATCTGTGTCTCTACCCTATGGGCCATTGCTCTTCATTGGAAGTCACCAGCGGTGCCTTTGTCTTCTGTTTTGCGTAGAATTGATAGATAGGATTGCTGGATAGGATGCAGTTATTCAACAGAAAATGGGATGTTTGGAAGACATTTCGGCATTTATTGTTAGAATGATGGGTTATCATGGATTTATCGGCATTGTATCTTTGTTGGTTGTGTAGTTGTTCAGTATATCTTACTGCCTATCTCATTCATGTACTTGAACATTCTTTTTCTATGATTCGACTTTATAAGACATTTTTTTTTACTTATGTGCCTTTTTCTTGATGTATGCTATACTTCATGAAGTGGTACTGTTGTTGTTGTCTATCTCTTAATAAAAACGTTTGTAAACAAAAGATTTTGAGTATCAGATTGCATTCTGAAATGTGCTCATTATATTTACAGTATGTATTATGTAGCTATGTGATCATTTGCACAAAGCTGAATTGGGTAGTGCCTTACTATTAGGTTATTGAGTAGCAAACATAAGAAGTTCTTCCAGCTCTTGTTCATTCTCTTTAGTAGATGAGGGCATTTGTGTATACAGAATAACAAAGACTTTTTTAGTTACACAATAAAAATATGCTTCTGAATAGAGTATGCTAGGTGGTGAATTCTAGTCATTGTAATGAAATTTAAGAAATCATCAGCTCTCTCTAAACTACACTACAGAGGTATTATTTCCCACATAAAATATCTTACCATGTTACAAATTACAAATATTTTTGATATTTGTTGTATATTCATATGAAAACAATGCACCGATTGTATTTTCCCTCTGTGGGAAAAGTAACAATCGTGGGAATACAATGGCCTGCTGAAGTTAGTAGATACATTTCATAGTTTTCACAGTCTGCTTTATGCAAGAAAACTTTCATAGCATTCTTAGATGAATAGTTTCTGCAGATTATCAGAGCAGATATATTCTAAATGACAATGGTAAAGTGAAAAAAAAAAACAGACAAATATAAATTTGTTGCTT